ATGGAATTGAACCAAACTTGGCACACAGAACTCCCATGACCAAGAGAAAATACTGGATGGGTTTGGTGGGCATTGACCTTGAGTTTGGGAGTTGTAGTTCAACTAGATCCAGAGAGCACCATGGACTCAAACAATGATGGATCTGAACCAAACTTGGCACAAATACTCAATACACCCAAATATGAACACAGGTGGAGTTTGAGGAAAATAGACCTTGACATTTGGGAGTTGTAGCTACTGGGATTTACAGTTCACCCTCAATCAAAGAGCATTCTGAATCCCACCAGTGATAGAATTGGGCTAAACTTCCCACACAGAACCCCCATGACCAACAGAAAATACTTAACGCCATCCAGTCCAACTCCCTTCACCAGGGCAAGAAAACATCATCAAAGCCCTCCTGACAAAGAGCAAGCTAAAAGATGCAAGATGTCTACAGAAGGCTGAGCCTCACCAACCAGGAAGCTCTCCTTATTCTTCCTGTCCTAAAAAAATCCAATAGCCTTATTTTGTGGACAAGTTCAGTCCAGGACTCAAGGAAACTGGAGGTCAGCAGTGAACAGCAGTGCTGCAGAATTTGAAGAGGCACGAATGGAGAGTGAAAGGGAGAAACGTGCCAAGAGGAAGGTGCATCAAGCCAACCCTGACTTGGACTGCCTTCCATCTGGAAACCGATGTCCTCACTGCAGAACATGCAGATCTAGAATAGGGCTCCACAGCCACCTACAAATCTACTGCCAATATACAAGTCTTGGAGGACCATCATCCTCAAGCTACGAAGAATCGCCTAAGTAAGTAACAGAGATATATTGTATTCTCAAAATAGAAAATTGAACATTATTGGATTCCCACCCCCACCCCCCCACCCCTCCCAGCAAATCTAAAGGTATTTCCAGTTGAAATCTATTACCATAACATTATGCAATGAGCTTGTGAGAGGCACAGTATCTGAACAAGTGGGTTTGGATCTACGGAAACTCACACAAAAATAAAGACCTGTCAATCTTAAAAGTGTGGTCAGTCCTTTTTGTTTACTGTAGTTTCTTCACCCTTTTTAGGCTGGAAAGTGATGGTCTTAAATCCTGCAAGGCCTGTGTTTCAAGCTGCAAATGGGCCAAGCGGGTGGCTTTAATATTGTGACTCAGTGAATTATGACATTTATGACATTCTTCACTCAGAACAAGTCAGAGCAGCGAGACATGACACTCCAAAATTGCAAAACAAGTGTGTCCTGTAGCATTGACTCTTACCGTGCATCTTATTGCTGAACTTGAAATCTTCATCATCTTTATCAACTGAGCTGGGATCTAAGCAGAAGGTGTTTATATTCTCATCCAGGTACCAACTGAGATTTTCATTCACAATGCCGAACATCAGAACAAAGCTTCTGGTGTCATGGGTTATCTGTCCTAAAGTATGGTCTAATGTTCCTTAAGAAAGTAGACAAAATGATTATAATTATTATAATAATTAACATATTAATATACGCATCCTCACAACTGCACACATTACAGAAAGAACCTTCTTAGAGAAAAAACTGACTCAAAGGGAAGTGACTTTTGCTAAGCATCTAATGCTGAAATCTAAATCAGTTTGAAAGGTGTTGCTAAATTCCTTTCCGCCTTCTCCCTATTTTCATTTTTATTTATGTTGAAACAAACTAACATGGTTATTTCTTTGGGGTGAAGCTTAAAAAACACTTCCAGTAAGTTTACTTGGAGCCAGTTCAGATAGATAATCAAATATCTATCTGAAAAGCCATCAATTGTAGGAAATGTTGTGCAAACTGATCCTGGGGTTGGATCTACACTGCCTTAGAATCATATAGAGTTGGAAGAGACCTCATGGGATATCCAGTCCAACCCCCTGCCAAGAAGCAGGAAAATCAAAGCACCCTTGACAGATGGCCATCCAGCCTCTGTTTAAAAGCCTCCAAAGAAGGAGTCTCCACCACACTCCAGGGCAGAGAGTTCCACTGCTGAACATCTCTCATAATCAGGAAGTTCTTCCTCATGTTCAAGTGGAATCTCCTTTCCTGTAGTTTGAAGACATTGTTCCATTGCGTCCGAATCTCCAGGGCAACAGAAAACAAGCCTCCTCCCTCCTCCCTATGACTTCCCCTCACATATTTATACACGGCCCTCATCATGTCTCCTCTCAGCCTTCTCATCTGCTGGCTAAAGATGCCCAGCTCTGTTAGCCACCCTTCATAGGGCTTGTTCTCCAGACCCTTGATCATTTTAGTCGCCCTCCTCTGGACACATTCCAGCTTGTCAACATCTCCCTTCAATTGTGGTGCCCAGAATTGGACACAGTGTGATTCCAGGTGTGATGTGACTAAGGCAGGATAGAGGGGTAGCATGACTACCCTGGATCTAGGCACTATACCTATGCAGGCCAAAATCCCATTGGCTTTTTTTTGCTGCCACACTACATTGTTGGCTCATGTTTAACTTCTTGTCCATGAGGACTCCAAGATCTTTTTCATACATACTGCTGTTGAGTCACGCATTCCCCATTATGTATCTTTGTATTTCCTTTTTTTGTGCATAAGTAGAGTATCTTGCATTTGTCCTTGATGAACTTTATTTTGTTATAAGGATATTTTGATATCCTTATATCCCAGGATCTGATCTCAGATTATCTGTTTATTCCAGATTATCTGGCAGTGTAGACTCATATAATCCAAGTCAAAGCAAATTATCTGGGATCATATCCTGGGATATAGGGCAGTGTAGATCCAGCCTGAGTCTGTATGGGATTCCCACCACGAACAAAAGCTCTCGTCCTTATCTTTAAAGCTCTCTTTGGCCTTGACTGCCCTATCTCTCCTCTCGTATAACACTGTATATTTTTAATCCTTCTGCTCAGTCATCCTGGACTGTATAAATCTCTGTCTTGCTCTCTTAGTATGGATCTAAACTGCAATATCATCCAGATTGTCAAAGCATTCACATCTTATTTGAACTGGATTATATGTGTACCATATAATCCAGTTCAAAGCAAATAATCTGGATTTTATATGGCACTGTAGATGGGGCCTCAAAGACTCCTCCTTTCTCTCTTGCTACTTTATATACTTGGAATTACATCCCAGGAAGAGCTTCCTGATTGCAAGGTTTCTGCAATATGAAGTGACAGCAGGAGAGAGACAATCTGCTTCGAACCCTTGTTTTCTGGTTTCTGGTACATCTAGGACAATGTAGTTTAATGCCACTTAAATTGCCATATCCCAATACTGTGGAATTCTAGAAGTCGTTGATTTACAAGTGCTTTAGCCTTCCTAAACAAGGAAGGCACCACACCAAACTAAAACCAAATTCTTCCTTGTTGATGCACCCTAGGTGTCTTAGTTGCAGTAATCTATTCGGGATGTCATCATTGGTTCCAAATGAGCACACTGGGTTTGTATATGTTGTATATGTTGCACCAGGAGGCACCTTTGTGCCTTTTTTAAATGGGGGAGAACATACGGCAGATGATGCCCTGTTTGAGTCACCTACCTCAAAGGGCCCTCTTTGGACCACACAATGTGTCTTCCCCAACTGGAGAAAGAGCAGGATGGGAACTGAGCTACATGACTCAGTTAGGAGAACCCTTGCTTCCTGGTACACCGTTCCCAAACCTCAATGCACCTTCCTCCACACCCTTCCCAAGATCTTAATTCCAGGTGATGTAATCCCTAAATCATAACAATTTAGCATTTCAACCTGTGTCCTCAAATGCAGCAAGACTATTCAACTGCCATACATATGAGGGTTGAATGAAAAGTAATGCCTCCACCTTTGTTACTTGGGTTTGGATGGCAATATTTTAATAAATCAAACTCAGAAATAATCCTTACAATGTGCTCTTTAACTACCACTATTCACTTTTCCACATAATCACTAGACAGTTGGATACATTTCTGCCAATGATGAACAAGTTTTCTGAAGCTGTCACAGAAGAAGTCAACAATTAGTTTCCGCAACCCATTGTGAACAGATCTTCCGATAGCCAAACAAAGAAATAATGTGACCCACGCGTTCTTGTGAAATGCCGATTATGCTTGAAATTTCTCTCTGAGTAATACAACGATCATCCTGAATCAATCTGTCAACCTTTTGCTTGTGAAACTGGGTGGTTGCTGTTACAGGACATCCAACTCTGTTTGTCACGCAAGTCATAGAATCATAGAATCAAAGAGTTGGAAGAGACCTCATGGGCCATCCAGTCCAACCCCCTGCCAGTAAGCAGGAATATTGCATTCAAATCACCCCTGACAGATGGCCATCCAGCCTCTGTTTAAAAGCTTCCAAAGAAAGAGCCTCCACCACACTCCGGGGCAGAGTGTTCCACTGCTGAACGGCTCTCAGATGCTCCCACCTCAACATCTTTAAGCTTTCTCACCCAATGACGCACAGTACTCACATCAACACAATCACCATAAACAGCTTGCATTCTCTGATGAACCTCCTCTGGAATGACACCTTCTTCTGTCAAGAGTTCAATGACTGCACGTTGCTTAAGTCGCATTGACCGCCCGTCTGCACAGGGTTCCATATTTCACACTTTAGCAACACAACCGTTCAATGCTAAGGCTTCCCGCCAAAATGGAACTGTAGAGGAGAGTCTACTGAACAAGCCAGTGCCTGCCATACTGTCATCTGTTGAGGAGTTATGAAGGTGGAGGCATTACTTTTCATTCAACCCTTGTACATTAACTGCCGCTGAACTAAAGAATCTCCCCAACCAGAGAGGATCCAGATATGTTGAATCCCTCACAACTGATTCTATTGGATGGGGTTCTTGGAAGCTGAAATCACCACACCATTGAGGACCATTGTACCAGAACCTTGGACCACAAGAAGATCAAACCGGTCCATACTCCATGAAATAAAACCTGACTGTTCACTTGAAGGAAGGATGTTAGAAGCAAAGGTGAAGTACTTTGGCCACATACTGAGAAGAGAGGAAAGCTTGGAGAAGATAATGATTCTGGGGAAAACGGAAGGAAAAAGGAAGAGGGGCCGACCAAGGGCAAGAGGGATGGATGGTATCCTTGAAGTGACTGGCTTGACCTTGAAGGAGCTGGGGGTGGTGACGACCAACAGGGAGCTCTGGACTGGGCTGGTCCATGAGGTCACGAACAATAGGAAGCAACTGAACAAATAAACAACAAAATCAGAACCCACTAGAATAGTGGTTCTCAACCTGTGGGTCCCCAGATGTTTTGGCCTTCAACTCTCAAAAATCCTAACAGCTGGTAAACTGGCTAGGATTTCTGGGAGTTATAGTTCAAAACACCTGGGGATCCACAAGTTGAGAACCACTGCACTAGAATTTAGAGCAAACCTGCATGTTTTGAGACCCAGCCAACCAAAATTCACCACCACCGGGGCAGATAATGTTCTAAATGACGTACCTTTCTTACAAACCAGCAACGGTCCAATTAATCCAGTACTGATATCTTTTGGTGTGTCGATGTGCGAATGGTAAATCCAAGTCAGACACTGTGGATCTGTCGTGGATGGTGCAAACTCATCTGTAACTTGCCACGTATATGTGTAATTAGTCCCAGGGCGAACAAAATCATCTTCTTTGCTTTTTCCACCTGTTCCATCAGGGTAGAGAGCTCCTGATATAGAAATGATAAGTTACAAATCTAAAATGTACTGTCCTTTCCTTTAGAAACAGGGATAGAAATCTTTGTCAGATATAGTATGGGGATGTTGTCTCCCAGTGACCTGCTTCTAGCTGTACTTCCTTAAAAATGTGATGGTTTGCATCCCCCCCCCCCAAAAAAAAACCCAAAAAGAGACAAATTCAAGGTTTTGGGAAGACTCATACGTATATGAATACAGATTTACTATATACCTTTTTCTAGTGTAAAATCACTACTTCCATAGTCAGGAAATCAAAATGGAAAGAGAGGATGCTACCTGAGAAGTCAAGGAACAACTTTGGATGTAAAAAATTAAAAGCATACAGTGTAAATTGCACAGATTTTCCATCCATGTCTTAAAGTCATAACAACATTCTTACTTCTTCCATGGCCAGAGATGAATGTAGAATACTTCATAGCCAAATGGCAAAAATAGTATAAGAGTAAAGCACAAGGCTATTAGGAATTGTGGGTGTTGAAGTCCAAAACACCTGGAGGGGCGAAGTTTGCCCATGCCTGCTATATACCATGTTTGACCCTGAGAACATTCTTGTAAATAACAAACAAGCTCTGGACACATTCCCTACTGATCAAATAGACCTCAGATAAGGATTACTCAGTATGTATTAGATATTACTCTGGACACTTGGTCTTTGGTCTTCATTGCACAAGCGACGGGGGGGGGGGGGATTGCGTGGAATTGGGTGGAATTGACTTCTTTGCATGGCATTAAAGAAGATGGAGAATTTACTACCACCATCACACAGCTTTGACATCCTCTTATTTCCACATGCTGCAAAGATGGAATTCCAGGAGCAACCATCAGAAAAACTCCAAGATCGTTTGATGGTCATTCTGTCTTTGAAGTGTGTAGAAACAGAGGAAAACTTCCATATGATGAGGTCCCTGGTGTAACTCTAAAGTTCTAGAAAACAATGGTGCTTGAAATAAACCCGCTTATCTATCTCAATCAGTGCTGTGATTAGGTTGGACAGAAAGGACTGCTAGGACTTGGTAGATCCTTTGGCCAGAGTTACTGTTTGTTGTTGTGTGTTTGCCTTCCTGCTAAGTCTCATTTATTCTTTATTCCACCTGGAAGGTTACTGATATTTCAGTCCTACCCAACAATAGGCGTGTTTAAGATGGTGATGGAGAGAGCTTTGATATAGGACAAGGCCACACGATTGGCCAACCATGAGATGTTTGGGGCACAAAAGCAAAGCAAAGCAGTAAACATTCTTCTTAATTGTTAGAGACAAATGTAATCTATCTATACACATAATAAAAGTGAAAAACGTGTATGTATGTATGTGGCTGTAGTTGCAAGTGCTGGGAAGCCTCCAAAGGCATTCCAGGTTATAGTTGGCACCATGAAAGCTGCAAATGTCCTCCCCAAACACCAAACACCCA